TTATTCCTATTTAGACGATTGTTCAGATGGCTAGATTTAAACCTACCAGTTTCTGTAAGTCAATCTGTTCTTTGTTCCCTTTCCTTTATGTCTTCTTTTAGACTAATTTAATATACTTTATGATTCTATTTCAAAGCCCTCAGTTACCTAGAGAGAAATATGTATGTGGTAGATATTTCTATGTTGCAGTACCTCATGGACCTGGAAATAGAGAACTCAAGTGATCTGAGATAAAATATTATTTCCTTCACAGATGTGGAATCTGATGCATTCATTCAACAAATTATTATTGAGCAAGAATCTACATAAAGCCACCAAGAATAAAATCAGTCCTCTGAAGACCACTGCTGGCATCTGCAAGGGTCAAGAGAGTGGCCATGATCTGGGAATTACAACCATCCGTCTATGGAGAATAGCCAATGATTCTGTAACATCTTCCTATGCTGACAGATAGTTAACTGCATTAGTGCGGGTGAGGATTTAATAATGTGGGTAACCATTGAACAACTGTGTTGTATACTTGAAACCAATACAAGACTGTATACCAACTATACTTCAATAAAATGAAAAGATATAAAATTCTAAACCCCCACTTAAAAAGTCCCTCTAAGCTTGAAGGTTCCTGAGACGTCAAGAGAGGGACTCAGATTTGTGTACTTTAATATATACATTCTTATAATAAAAAAAAAAGAGGGTATCAGTTCCCTCAGGGCAAGAGCAGCTCCACTGCATGTCTCCCTACTGACCTCCACCAGCAGAAGGGGGAACCCCAAAACTCTCTAAGTCTTAGCAAGATTCCTCATTTTTCTCAGATCACAGCCTCCGCTACCACCATCCCCCTTGAGACCATCATGACCTTTATCCCTATTCAAGTCAGTTACCCTAGAATCCAGGACTTCCGGACCATGCCTTATATGACTCTAATATTCCTACAGTCTGTCCACCTGTGCTTCTAATTCCATTTTTACATCCCTCCAATCTTCTGAAATTCTTTCACAATTAAACTCAAGATTAAATATCTGCAAAACCTCTTATATCCTCAATCTCTTCTCTGAACATTCCCTTCACCTTCTTGTTCTAACTGCAACTGGCTCTCTTTCGATGGCAGTTTCTCTTGCAGTTTTGTTTATGTAATGATTTCTGTCATTACCTTTTGGTGCCACTGGACCTCGAGGTGGCGTGAGTGTCCTCTTTAATATTTTATAAGACTATATCACTCTACCCTTCTTGGAATTTATTTCCTCTTTCTCCAGGCTACTTCTACTCATTCCTTGAAAACTTTAGTACAGGTTCTCTATCATTCTCTCCATGAACAACTATCAGAACTCTTGGTGATTTCAATATTCCTTCAATAGCTTGGCATTAATTTTTAAGTTCCTTGACCTCTTCTCAGTGATATTGTCTATCATACCTGAGTCTCTCATTTCAATGGTTATACCTTTGACCTTTTCATCACCAATAACTGCAACCTTTCCACAATGTCAATTTCTTGCAAACTTCTTTGGCCACGTACTTGAAAATGTAATTTAAATACATCTTGGAGGTAATTACATCTTTTTGTACAATATGTTGAATAACGCATCTCAGCATATTTCTTCTTTTCTGTCTCCCTCACCAAAATGTAAGCTCTAAGGGGGCAAAGACTTTCGTTTTGTTCACTGTTACATCCTCACCATCTACAACAATGCCTGGGCTCAATAAATCTGTTGAATGAATAAATAAATGTCTATTACATGTCCAGCCCTAGGAATTCAACAAACAAAACCGCTGACATCATGTAGATAGAAATATTCAAATGGTAAAACCTTATTTAGATGACAAAGTATTTATTTTTTAATTGAGAGGTTACTGACACATAACATTATACACAAGCTGTAGTCCAAAGTATTCTTGAGTCTGCATCAGGTCTCCCTCAGAAATACACCATCTGTGTTACTGGTTTTCATTAATATTTATATATAAGTGACAAGATCTGTATTAAAACCTCACTTTGATATATGCCTGATCATCTTTGGCAAATTGTCGTAATCAGTTTAGGCTGCTATAACAAAGTACCATAGACTTGGTGGCTTATAATAGAAATTTCTCAGTTCTAGAGGCTAGAAGTCCAAGATCAGGGTACCAGCATGGCTGGGTTCTGCTGAAGGTCCTCTTTCAGACTGCAGAATGCCAACTTTTTGTTGTATCCTGGTATGGTGGAGAGTGGGGAGAAAAAACTCTCTAGGGTCAGTTTAACAAGGGCACTAAATCCCATTTAAGAGGGCTCCGCCCTCATGACCTAATTACCTCCCAAAGGACCTACCTCCTAATATCACATTAGGGATTAGAATTTCAATATATAAATTTCAAGGGAAGGCATTCAGTCCATGGCAAATACAAAACTGAAACATTTCAGAGTACCAAAATACTTCTAGCTAGAAACCCTACACAAGATCTTTACAAGCCAAGCCTTGAGTTTTTAAGTGAAGGAGATTAGAATCTGTTTATATACGTGTATTAGTTTTAAAAGCCCTTAGACTTAAATTTCATTTCCCTCTTCTTAAGCCCTCTCTTTCTCACCTCTGGGTTTTACCCTCACCTGCCGCACGCTAAACCTTGTTCTCTCAGTTGTCTTATCTTTTCCAATCCCTCCCTTTCCACTGGCTTCTTCTCTCACCCTTGAAACAGGATTATAAACAAAAACACAAAAAACCTCCCCATTCCTAAAGAAGCTACAAAAATAAAACCCTTCCCTCAAGGACTGAAAAATATATAATATTCTCTTTCTAGTCCTCAATCTGTGTCTCTCAGTCTCAGCTAATCATGTCACATTTCACCCAGTCTCCCAAACTAGAAACCTCTTTACCTCTTTCCCCTTATCTAACTGGTTTTCAAGGTCAGAAATTGATCAAAATTCTGGGTGAGCTTTTCTCTTCACTCCTACAACCACTGCTTCAGTTCTGGATCTAATCTCTTACCTGAACTACCATAACCGGTCTGTCTGCAGTCTTTCTCCACTCCAGGTGGTAATTATATCCCACATTTTTTTTTTGAGTACTTACTATGTGTCTGGCACTTCGAACACAAAAGAAAAATATGATACCAGGCCTTATACTCAAGTAACTTGTCCACTCACACGATAACATTAGTCCCATTAAAAATGTTTTATTGTTGCCAGTACGGTTGTTTAAACTCCTTGAGCAGGCTTAGAGAACCCTTTACCACCTGGCCTGAACCCATCTCTCCAGGCTCACTATTCTTCACTTACAGTCTCTCCTAAGCTCCAGCCACACAGAACTCTGCCGATTCCTGAAAATTCCATTGCCTGTGCTTTACATATATTTTATGCTTTGAATGCCTTCTTCCTCTCACCATTGGGAAAATTTAAGCCTGTAAAACTTAGCTCAACCTTTACAACTCTTTGATGCTTTCCCAGATTCCACTACTTAGTTCTTCCAGGTTGTTGTTCCCACAGTAATCTGTTTATAGCTCTAATACACTACTCATCACAATACATTTTAACTTACCTATTTACTTACCTTTTTTCCTACAATTACTGGAGGTCAGGAACAATACTGCTTTGCCTTATCAGGTACACAGTAGGCTCTAATCCCGAATGTTTTTAAGGACTCTTACCACTTGGTCTTCTTAACCGCGCCCACTAACCCCATCCCCCTGCACCCAAATGAGATTACATAGCTCTACCTGGAAGAGGAGCATGTGCTGTGGTGTAGTAAAACCATGGCTTTGGAGTTAGCTTTCTATTAGGTACTCCAGTGTTTGAGCTCTAATCATATAATAAAGAGCAAAATCAAACACTGGTACTCTCTCCTAGAGGATAAGCCTTGGACAGGCGGGTTAAATCACGTCCCACTATGAACTGAAAGGTCACCTTCCACTCCTTGCTTTATTTCTACGTCCTGGGTAATTTTTCTTAGTAAGACCTGTTTTAATCCTTAACAGTCAACGTCGACCTCGCTTCCTTGTATGTTCCCATCACATTTTTGCGTTTTCATTTTAGGTCTCAGTTATCTTGATTTGTGTATTTCCCCCAGCAGGCTCTTTAGAATAACCATATATGACAGCTGAGACCCTCCCTTTTAACGGGCTTTGAGCATAGGGTCCTATGGCTGTAGTTCCCAGTACCTGCCTTGAACAGCATAGTCCCTAAATCCTTAATACGAAGACCGCCCCCCCTCCCCCCAACACACTTTCAAAAACTACTTCTGGCACTTTCCTTAAAGCTCCTTTGGGTTCCAACTGGCGGTACAGTGGTGCAGTTCTCCCTCACTCCCCCGTTCAGCGGCCTCCCAGAGCAGGCAGATACTATCCATTAGAGCTTAATCCTGGGCCTTGCACGAAACAGCAGATCGGGACCTAAGGGTTGAAACAGTTGGGGAACCCCCTCCCCCAACTGATGTGACTGAAGACACCAGGTGTCCCAGTCTCTCCATCACCGCAAACCTACACTTTCCACACCTTCCCGTCTGTTCCACAGCGCTAACATCTTAGCAGGGGCAAATGCCCGCTCCTGCTCGTCAGCCGGAGACCTCAAATTTCCGCCGCCCCGGGACAGCCAGCCTTCAGAAGAACGCACGGCAGACCCAGGCCTTTAGCCGGAAGGCATCCCTTTCCCGTGTCGTCGCCAGCACAGGCTGGTCGCACCTCTCTGCGGAGGGCTGGCTGCTTTGCGCCCTCGGAAGAAGCCAATCCCCCATCTCATTCGGCAAGCCTCCCGACCCAGCCCTTGGGGTCCCTCCGCCTTTGCCTTCCTTCCGCTGTCTACGCGGCGTTTTCTTCAGGAGACCGTGTAAGGCGCGCAGCAGGAAGATTAGGCAGCCAACCGCACCCCGCGTGAGCAGCAGCGGGGGACGACAGGCGGGAACAAGCCCAGACGTCCGCACCAGGCGGAGGGCGGGGCCGATGCCGGAAAGGCTCTCGAAGCACGCGAAGGCCCCGCCCCTTCCGTAGATATCTCTAGAAAGCCGCGGAGGACGAAAACAAGAAGTGCGCACGCGCGGCAGCAGGGCTCCGGCATTTTGCTGCGTCACCAGCCGCCGCCCGGCCTCAGCGCTGCTCGCCTACACGCACGCACACACGCTCGTCCTCTGTCCTCGCGCCGCTTTTCTTACACTTCTCTCCTCCCCGGCCTGAGGAGCGGCTCTCGGCGCGGTGCATTGTGGGAACCCAGGTCGAGTGCGCCGTCGCCGTCTCCGTCGCCCGGGGGAAGCGAGAGGAGGCCGTGACCGCGGAGAAAGCTCCGCAGTCGTCACCGGAGAGGAGTCGACTGCCCCGTAGTTGTCGCCGCCGGAGAGGCCTGCCCACGCGTTCACCCGTCCCCCGTCCGGTTTGCGATGTGAGTGCGACACTCCGCCGGGAGAAGACCGCCCGGGCGCGAGGCCGCGTCCGTGTCTGGGGCTGCCGGGGGTCCCCTCGCCCGCTTTCGGCCCCCTCGCCTTTCTCTTCGACATGGTGGCAGTCGGTCTTGCCCCGGGGTGGGAGGGCCCGGATCCTCGTTCCGGTTGCCGTTGGCGGGTGGACATTTTCCTCCAGATGTCCGCCTCCCCCGCCTTTAAACCGTCCCTCCGCTTCCCCGCGCTGGAAATCCCGCTCTCCCCCGTGGCAGGCCGGGGCACTCCTAACTCCGGAACTTAGCCTTAGGCCTCCCTCTGACGTGAGCTGTGGCCGTGCGGGCGCCCGGGAGGTTGGGACCCGCTTGTTATTGCCACCTCGCTTCTCTGGCCGTGTGGTTCGGCGGTTCAATGCCGCGGCGAGGCTGTAGGCCCAGTGCACCTGTGGTGGGTGCCACCGGAGGGCGGGTGGCACTCCTCGTGGAGCAGCACGCGGCCCTCCGCCGGGAGCGGCAGGTACTGCTAGGCAACTGGAGGGAAGCCATACCGTCCCCACAACTCTTGTCCCTCTCTGGTGGCGTGATTTGAGTGCGGGCTTTCCGGGCCTCCTCCAAATTCCAGTCTCTTGAAAGGAGTGAAGGTCTCCAAAACTCTGGTAGCGAGGAGTTACAATTGAGCAGGTAGTTGTGCACGTGTCGAGTCGAAAGATACTTGTGGGCATTTTCTGTGTTTTACATTAAAGTCTAGGCGAGGTTTCATTATCCTATTTTAATAGGTATGTGGTTACCTTCTTGTCTTTTTGTTTACGTGGAGATGACTACAGACTCTTGAGGCGTCTTAGTTTTATCACGGTAAAGGAAAACCTTGGTGATTTTTAACTAAGAATTCTTGGCACTGCCACTTCCAGGCCTTACATTCTTCGCGGGAAAGTTGCCTTTTCAGATGAGAGAACTGCCGGTTTTAGCGTTTGGGGGCACTGTGCCCTAAAAGTTACGTATAGAGAGCAGTTGAAAGGGAATAATTTTTATACCTGTAAAAAGTAATGCATTTTCACACATAATGTTGGAGGGGGGCACGGGTAAGGCAGTACAGCACAGAGAAGACAAGTAATGACTCTATAGCATCTTACTACGCTGGTGGACAGTGACCCTAATGGAGTATGTGGTGGGGACTTGATAATGGGAGTCTAGTAACCACAATGTTGCCCATGTGGTTTTATATTAATGATACCAAAAAAAATAATGCATTTTCAAGGGTTTCCTTAATAGAACAATTATCTTGACCGTGAGTATATTGGACTACCAATCTGAATAGATAAGGATATCTTCCAGCCACTCGATGACGGAGAACAAGCTCTGAGAAGAACGCATGTATTACTGTAATAAAAGTGGGGGTTGCGGGGGAGGGGGCGGTGTTAGATTTGGGAGAAACTTTTTCCCTCTCAGAAATGGTGTCTAACAAGATTTTTATCGTCGTAAAAAAGCTTTTGCTATTTTCAAGTCTCTGCAGGATTGTCAGTCTTAAATAGCTTTTATACTTTGAAAACCTACGAGGAGAAAATGAATCCTCAGATGAAGCATTACCAACTTTCAATAGAGCCAAACAAAATACCTTTTCACGAAGAAATGCCATGTTTGAAATACAAACTCTTCCAGGAGGTCACATACACAGTAAGAAACGTCCTACGTGAAGAGATTAAAAACTCTTGAAGGGAGTATTCCAAAGAGCGGTCTATTTATAGTTACAAGGCTGCTACTTATAAAATGAGTGCTTTGAGACCAGGTGAATCTCATCCTCTTTAAAATATTCAGTATATGCCATCTTGCAAATTCTTTAAGGATCTTACGCAATTAATGAATGAATTTACAAGGTGAAAATTGAGTCAGTTATTTGAGTTGGGAAAAATCCTTTAATGAAAGAGGTCATCCAGTTCAAGAAAGAGTCCAGTGGAAAGGGTTCGTTTTTATGTCTGCTATAAACATTTCCTTAGATGTAGAGACATTAAGCTGGGTATCAATGATTTTAGGATCTTTTTTCTCATTTAAATGCTCTTTGCTAGGGATTTCCTAGGTAAATGTTAAAACTTTTGTCTCGTAGTACACATAAAAGCTTTCATTTTGGAGAAGGCTGGGATTTTAGGACTACCCTCTCCTGTTTAAGATCTGTCCCAAACCCCTTGCAGGGGTGCTACTTTGCTTTTTTTTTTTTAATTAGCTAACTGCGGGCTCTAAGTTGAACCCCATTAACAACTATTACAGAGTAAAATGTCTTACTTAGTTTTGAGCTATTTGAAGTCATTCCTTCTGGTGTCTTGTAACAAATTAATAAATTGTCCAGAAACATTGTGACTATCTCTCAATGTTGATTAAAATCTTACTTTGCCATTGTTCATTGTAGGATTGAGGCCCCCAAAATAAAATCATCAGTCTTTAGCCTCCAAAGCAGATTCTAAATAGCATATGATATATAGTTGATTTCTTTAAGGGAGACTAACAGATGATGGCCCTTGTTCTTGTTGATTTCCTAAACTCTGTAACCTAGACAACTAAATTTTCTTTTTCCTTTTATTCTGTTGTTTAGTTAGGCTGTAACTAGAAGGCAGCAGAAACTAGAAAATGACAAATGATTTACATGCAGATTAGTGTGTATTGCTACGATTCTATTGTATTTCTTCAGTTTTAAAATCTTATGAAAACGTTATCATTGGGGGGGTTTAGGTGCTTAGTGATTGTCGATTTTCAGGAAAAAATTCTTTGTACTACCAATGCTTTAGAATCAACCTATCTCTTAAACGCCTACGATCATATTTTGAGTTCTTGAATTGAGAATTGTTGCATCTAGTGTATTTTGCTACACAAATACCAAGTGTGTTGTAACATTTTTTATTATGTACTGTATAGATTAGGAGTGATAGATGTTATTTGATTATTTTGTTATCATTAACCTACAATTACATGAAGAACATTATGTTTACTAGACTACCCCCCTTCACCAAGTCCCCCCCACAACCCCGATTACAGTCACTGTCCATCAGCATAGTAAGATGCTGTAGAATCACTACTTGCCTTCTCTGTGTTGCACATCCCTCCCTATGCCCCCTCCCCACCTTATACATGCTAATCGTAAGGCCCCCTTTCTTTTTCCCCGACCTTATCCCTCCCTTTCCACCCATCCTCCCCAGTCCCTTTCCCTTTGGTAACTGTTAGTCCATTTTTGGGTCTGTGATTCTGCTGCTGTTTTGTTTCTTCAGTTTTTCTTTGTTCTTATACTCCGCATATGAGTGAAATCATTTGGGACTTGTCTTTCTCTGCCTGGCTTATTTCACTGAGCATAATACCCTCTAGCTCCATCCATGTTGTTGCAAATGGTAGGATTTGTTTTCTTATGATGGCTGAATAATATTCCATTGTGTATATATACCACATCTTCTTTATCCATTCATCTACTGATGGACACTTAGGTTGCTTCCATTTCTTGGCTATTGTAAATAGTGCTGGGATAAAAATAGGGGGCATCTGTCTTTTTCAAACTGGGCTACTGCATTCTTAGGGTAAATTCCTAGATGTGGAATTCCTTGAGCTTTTTGAGGAACCTCCATACTGCTTGCCACAATGGCTGAACTTATTTACATTCCCACCAGCAGTGTAGGAGGGTTCCCCTTTCTCCACAACCTCGCCAACATTTGTTGTTGTTTGTCTTTTGGATGGTGGCGATCCTTACGGGTGTGAGGTGATATCCCATTGTGGTTTTAATTTGCATTTCTCTGATGACTAGTGATGTGGAGCATCTTTTCATGTGTCTGTTGGCCATCTGAATTTCTTCTTTGGAGAACTGTCTGTTCAGCTCCTCTGCCCATTTTTTAATTGGATTATTTGCTTTTTATTTGTTGAAGTGCATGAGCTCTTTATATATTTTGGATGTCAACCCTTTATGGGATCTGTCATTTATGAATATATTCTCCCATACTGTAGGATGCCTTTTTGTTCTATTGATGGTGTCCTTTGCTGTACAGAAGCTTTTCAGCTTGATAGAGTCCCACCTGTTCATTTTTGCTTTTGTTTCCCTTGCCCAGGGAGATATGTTCATGAAGAAGTCACTCATGTTTATGTCCAAGAGATTTTTGCCTATGTTTTTTTCTAAGAGTTTTATGGTTTCATGACTTACATTCAGGTCTTTGATCCATTTTGAATTTGGGGTTAGACAGTGATCCAGTTTCATTCTCTTACATGTAGCTGTCCAGTTTTGCCAACACCAACTCTTGAAGAGGCTGTCGTTTCCCCATTGTATGTCCACGGCTCCTTTATCATATATTAATTAACCATATATGTTTGGGTTACTGTCTGGAGTCCCTATTTTGTTCCGCTGGTCTGTGGGTCTATTCTTGTGCCAGTAGCAAATTGTCTTGATTACTGTGGCTTTGTAGTAGAGCTTGAAGTTGGGGAGCAAGATCACCCCCAATTTATTCTTCTCAGGATTGCTTTGGCTATTCGGGATCTTGTCATTCCATATGAATTTTAGAACTATTTGCTCTAGTTCATTGAAGAATGCTGTTGGTAATTTAATAGGGATTGCATTGAATCTGTTCATTGCTTTGGGCAGGATGGCCATTTTGACAATATTAAATCTTCTAGCCAAGAGCATGGGAAAAGTTTCCATTTGTTAGTGTCCTCTTTAATTTCTCTTAAGAGTGTCTTATAGTTTTCACGGTATAGGTCTTTCACTTCCTTCGTTAGGTTTATTCCTAGGTATTTTATTCTTTTTGATGCAATTGTGAATGGAATTGTTTTCCTGATTTCTCTGTTAGTTCGTTGTTAGTGTATAGGAAAGCCACAGATTTCTGTGTATTAATTTTGTATTCTGCAACATTGCTGAATTCAGATATTAGATCTTGTAGTTTTGGAGTGGAGTCTTTAGGGTTTTTTATGTACAATATCATGTCATCTGCAAATAGTGACAGTTTAACAACTTCTTTACCAATCTGGATTCCTTGTATTTCTTTGTTTTG